TTTATAGTCCAAAAATCCAAAATACTGAGTTATACTACTACAGGCTAATGCTGTTATCATAAACCTCATCAGGCAGAATTAACATATTCATCAACTGAATTTAAATATATGACCATGTAACAATTATATACTTGACTTATCTATTTTACTATAATAATATATTATACTAAATTTGTTTATCATACAGTTTTTAAAGATCAACTGTTGTTGAGTAATTGTTTAATAGTATTTTAAAGTTTTATATAATTTGTAAATAAGGTTTAGTGTAATATAAGAAGTAAATAAAAAAAATTTTTAAATATAAGAAAATTATAATCTAAAAAAAATAAGAAGAAAAGAAAAATGGTCTATAAATACAAAACAAAAAATTTTAAAAAGAAAATATTTAGAGAAGAAGCAAGAAGGAGAAGGTAAAATATAAAAGAAATAATAATAATATTATAATAGAATGAAAAGAATAGAAATAAGATGTGATAGTATTCAATAATTTATAAAAAATAATCTTTTTATAATATTAATAAGATTATTTTTATAAGAGAAATAAATAAATTAAGCATTTAGAAGAAAAGAATACTAAGTTGGAGTATAAGATGAAAATTGCAGAAAATAGTTGGGATAAATAGAGAAGGATATTTCAAAAAGGTGAAATAAAGTATGGAAAAGTAGTTGAGAGTTTATTGAAGAAAGAGAAGAAAAAAAATGGTGATTTGTTTATAAATAAGAAGGGTAAAAAGTGGAGAAAAAAATATAAAAAGTTGTATAAAAAAATTAAAGAAATAGAGAATTTTGATTAGGAGATAAGTAGGATATTTTTTAGTCATAAATGGGTAAAGTATTTGAGATCAAAATATCAAGGTGTTCAAGATGAAAAGGTGAAGTTAGTAGTTGAGAAAGATGAATTAAAGAATAAGATTAAGATAGAAAAGTTAAAGTGAAATAAAGAAAGACAAAAATTAGAAAATGAAAAGTTGAGTTTGAGAAGTAAAATTGAGAAAAAAGAGTTAAAATGAAGTAAGAAGAAACAAGAATAAGAAAGAAAAAAAATAATTTATATGAATAAAAAAATTAGAAAGAAAATAAAAGAACTAATAAAAGAAGAAGAAGAAGAAGAAATAATAAATAAAAAAGAAAATATTTTAAATAATTCAATAATAATAAGTGATTCAGATGAAGAAAAAAGATAATAAAATATAATAATAATAATATAATAATTAAATAATAATAATATTTTATAATTCATTAAATAGAAATAAAAAAATAAAATAGATGGATTGTAATGTTTTAGATTTAAATGATTATGAGAATAAGGATAGTGATAAAAGAAAAAAGAAAAAAGATAGTAATGAAAGAAAATGAAGAAGAGATTAGTTCAGATAAGAAATGAGAGGATTGGAGACAATTTGACTTGGATGATAGAGTTGGAAAAAGTAGTCATAGTCAAAAAAGAATATAAATATATTATTTTTTTGTTTTAATAAAGAGTATAAAAATTATTATCATAAAAGAAAATTTATAAAAATAAAAGTTTTGATTATGCTAATAATAAAAAAAAATAAAAGAGAAAAATAAAATAAGTGTTTAAAAAATTTAATATCAATAGCCTTTTAAATACTATAAGGGTTGAATAGATCCATGTAGTAAGGTTTGTTATCTATTGTCCTTTCTGTATTGGTTAGACATAACAAAATTGTTTACTTTTTACAAGAATTACTAGATACTAAAACTTAAAAATATCCTAAGACATAACTAGAGGAAGAAGTGCTAATAACCAGACTGTTAACAGCTATATATAGTCTTTAAATTTCAATAATACAAAGCTAATACTTGCCAAAATATTATTTATGAATACAGCTATTACTTTATATTATTTACAAGAAAGAAAATAATTATATTAATAAAAGATAAAATATAATAGGATATATATATAGTTATTAAATATATATAATGTTCAAAAAGTTATCTTCTTTAGTATCTTAGAACATGATAGAATCTAAAAAAATGAGATTTACAGATTACATAGTCTAATTCAGGGTAGAAAAATTTTTAAAGTTTTTCTGCCGATGTGGCACAGTAAAAGAAAATCACTTTAAAATTATACTTTTTGAAAAGGTGTTTTTAAAGCCTTTTAATACTATATATTCATGTTTTGAGCTTTTAAGTAAAGTTGTAAAGGAGATCTTTTTGGATCTAATGAATATTAAAAAATTAAAATTAGTCTTGTGGATGACTTTTTATGATAATTTTAAAAAATGCTGAATGTCTCTTTTTGCTTCTTGGAATTTCTTAAAAATCATTTTTATAGACATTAAAAAATGTCATTATGATTTCAGAGCTAATTTGCGAATCAGACAAGCATTTTTACTAAGATATAGTATAATAAGAAATGTAGAGAAGGTTTCTGTGACTAGAATGATATATGTTTCATCTTTCTATATTCAAAATTCATAGAAATATAGATGAAAATAAAAACCTTTTAAAAATCGTTTTTGTAGTTTCTTCTTTTCTAGAAATTTTAGTGTTTCTGTATACAAATTCATTTTTTATTAATAATTTTTAGTATTCCACCAAAAAATAAGTTTTTCTAAGAATAATTAGTACTAATAAGCAATAAAATAATAAAATAATAAAATAATAAAAATAGAAAATAATAAATCTAAAACATAATACTAGTAAAATAAAATAATCAAAGAAGTTAACTTAAAAATTCAATAATTTTAAAATATATATGTGTGTATATGTGTGTGTAACCAGCAAGTGATATTAAAAATCAAAAATTCAAAAATCAAAAATCAAAGCCAGAAAGTAAAAGCATAAATTTCTTCATAATTTCAAAATTTCAAAAATATAAAATACAAAATAATCAATTCAAGTTGAGTTAGTAGAGGTATATTTTTAAAATAATAATTTCAAAAATTCCAAAATGCTTTTTCACAATTGTTACATTAAAATAAATTCTAAAATAAATTTTTTCTAGAAAGAGAATTGCTTTCTGGAATAGTTTTCTTAAAAGAGATTTTTGTTTCTTTATTGTAATAAATTTTTATATTTCTGCCAAAAGGTACCAAAATATTATAGAGTTGCAACTTTCTTGGTACAATACAACCAAGTAACAAGGTTACTTGGTACAGTGATTGACTATTGCAAATATGGGCTATGATCTATCAAAATCTTGACTAATGCATAATAATAATCATCATGAAATTTGTTAACAAAAATTTGGGGTCTATTTTGACAATAATGATCTCTTTTTTAAAATAAATCCTAAACTATTATCTACTAATAAGAGGTTAAGAATTTTTTATTATGACCTTTTGAATAGTTTAACCTAATAACAACATTACTGCACTAATAGTTGATGGAAAAATTACTAAAATAACAGCATTTGAACACAATTCATATTGCTATAATACAGCATTGCTGTATTGCAATACAGCACTGTGGCATGTAGCAATGCAGTATTTCATAAATTAAGTTGCTACTAACTCATTGTAAAGACTAAATAATTTAGAATAAAGTGGATAGGAAAAGAAGAGATAACTGAATAATTTAATTCAGTTTGTTTGTTTGTTTGTTTTTTTTTGTTTAATTCTTTTCTCTTTCCTTTCTTCATATCAAATAGCCAGAAAAATAGACAAAACTCTACAGAAAACCAAGTTAGGAAAAAATAACATTGAACAAATAGTTTTGGTTGAATTCTACTATAACAGTTAACTCACTGACAAGTTTAGTTTGCTAATAAGCTTATTTTATATTATTTTATAAATTGTAAACAAAATATTTTTTATGTATTTCACTTATTGTGCAACAATTATCATATTATTACATCCCAAATTAATAAAGCATACATGGCCTTCTTTGCATTAACCTTCTATATTAGTGCAACAATAAATTTTATAATAGTAACTATATGAATAAATATAAGGAGTATAATATAAAATCTATATAAAGGTATAACATAATACCACTTTTATTCGATTTTAATTGGACTTGGCATTGGACAAGTTATATTTTTGTACAGGTCATCTACAAATCTTCGAACTTCATCATATAGGTATTTCTGTCTCATATAAAAGACTGGTTGAGTGTTTAATAAAGAAAAGGGTACTAGGAGATCAAACCTATTACCAGACTTAAGTAACATAAAGGTCTTATATTCACTATTGAATAATCTTTGACAAAAAACTTTGCCAGGCTCATTGCTTTTAAATAAAAAGTGTTGATACTGTTTAAGATGTGGAATCTTATGAAAGTGTAATGCAAAGTATTGTGTAAAATCATAATATGTCCAACCTTCTCTGTTTTAATATCATATTGCCTTGTTAATGCTATTCTTAGTAGAGCATGTAATAATTTTTTCTATATTATCAATTGTATTTATTTTAGATTTACGATATAAAGTTTTTAGAAGTCCAAAATAATAATTATAGATAAACTTAGTATGATCTGGAATTATAAAGTTAACCTTAATTGAGTTATAAGTCCTATTTTAAGTTAGTTAACAATAGTAGAAAAAAGAAGTATTGATCTTATTTTGTCTACTACAGTTATTACAAATAATCTTTAGTCTTTTCTCACCTTGATTCCTTTTTATTAGCATGTCATGTATCATATTTAATGTAGTATTTGCCCCTTTTGCTGCATCAACAAAAAATTCACACTCATTAATAATGAAATTAGTTTGTATAGGTGTTGGTAAAACACCTGTGTCTGTTATACCAAAGATACTTGCTGAATGTACATTTTTGAAATATAAAGAGCCAACTTGTTAAGAAGAATATAAAATAAGTACATTTTGGGCCCAATCATAACAGTAATTGGCTGTTGCTGTATGAAAAAGTGTTTGTATAAAAAATAGTATAAATATAACTAATAAATGATATTAATAAGAATAACATATCATCGATAGACTTTAGCAAAGAATTACTTTTCTTAATAAGTTGCTTGTTATAAACTTGTTCAGTATCTTGTTGAGCTTGTATGATATTGCATTGGTAATACTCTCATTCTAGTCTGACAGCTTGCAGATGATCATTATATTCCTTGATAACATTCTCTTTTTTTTGAGGATCATTAATATGTGCAATCTTATAATGAAGCTCTTCACAGATAGCACACAAGTTAGACTGAGGTTTTAAGAATTTTATATAAGGAGTTAAAGCTTTTTATAAGCATATGAAGGAATTTCAAGATATTATTTTCTGTTTATCACCAAACTTAAGTTTTATTGATTATTGAAAGTTCTCAAAAACAGTTGTGTAATTTTCACTAGTTAGTAAATAAATAAATGCTGAAATAGTTTTTAATAAGTAATAACCAGAGCATGGTAAACTATTTACTAAAACATAATTAGTAATAAATGCCTTCACTTCCTTTGCAAGTTATAATTGATTGTAACTTTTGTATTTCATTGTGAAATGTGTTTAGTATTTTTATAAACTTTTGAGTTAATATCTGTTTTTTTAAAATAAGATAAAATTGCTAGCAACTTTGATTCACCTATTTCAACAAGCTTTAGATAAGTATTCTTATATAAGCTAATATGACTATTAAAGCAATAATGAAGAGAATACCACCTTTCTTTTTTATTTGATTTATTATTTGCTTCATGATCAAAAGTCATCAGTTGGCTATTAAAATATAATCTAACTGCTCATGACTCAGTCCTCAGAACTGCAAATAATGTTTAAAAAACCTATGAAATTTTATTATTTTAAAGCACTTTTGTTTATTTTTTTTGTTATAACAAAGATACTTCAAAGTTGTAAAGAATGATTTCAGTGATTGATATGCCTTATAAATGAGTTCATTGTCTTCATATTTAGCAAAAAATTTCTCAAGATTGCCAGTAGCTTTAGGCAAATATTTTCTTTATTCTCAGCTTTATCTGCAATTATATTAAAAATGTTTTTATAATTATCATTACTATTATCATCTGAATCATTTAAAGGAATGTATGAAATATCAGTCATAAAAAATGTTTGATGAAAAGAAGATAGCTTAGTTTTTGAATTGTTCATTATTCAGATTAATTAAAAAAAAAATTTTTTTTTTGGGGAAGGGCTATTGTAAAATTAAACAAATTATTAAACTATAAAATTCTTATTCAAATTACAGTTCTCTTAATATATTAAATATTAAAGCATTACAAATCAGAGCACTAATATTATAATTCTTAGTAACTCTTTGGGTATAACAAACACATTTCAAATAGCATGATTCATTTTATAATTTTGACCCTTATCTAAAGGAAACTCTATCACTATCCTTTTTATATTGATATTCATTCTAACATTATATAATTTCTCTATTTAACTTATCTGTATGACTTGTGTTTCTCACAAATGCACCTGGATAATGCATATAATTTGTATCATATACTTTGTAATACTACATGAAGATAAGCAAATTTGGAGATCAAATTTCGAAATATGGGGTCTGATTTGTATAAAAATAGCCTTTTGTTACTTAACTTTAAACTATTATAAAAAATTATTTTACTAATAATTTAAAATAAAAACTACCAAGATAAATAGATATAACTGCTAAGAATATGTTTATGCAAAAAACTTATTTTGTATAACATGACTATTAATCGAGATTTTGATAAATCATGGCCCATATATATAAGATAGAGATGAAGTAGTTCATTTTACTATACAGCAGCAGGCAAATGGTTCAAGATAATAACAGTATATAGATTAACTTTTTATTAACTACACATGGTGACAATCTTGTCTATAGGAATTACCTTAGAGGGTAAATATCATACTTTATAATTAAAAGGTTATTATATCTGGATTGAAGTATAGAAACTTAGAATTGGCAGGAAAAAGAAAAAGATATCCTTTATATATCTTTTTATCTAGTAGAAGTAGTAAAGGTTTGAATAATATTTCTTGATACTGTATTTGAAGTAGTGAGGATTGTGCAGAGCCAAGTGGAGTTTGTATAGAGATAGTTGAAACAATGTTTATATATATTTGTCATTTGTACTTGAAACACTTGGAGCTTGTGTCAAGATACTTAAGTCTGTATAGAGACAGTTGAGATTGTGCAGAGACACTTGGGGATTGTATTGAAGATACTTAAGATTGTGCAAGAATACTTGGGAATTGTGGAAGGGATACTTGGAATTCTTGTAATATGTTATTTGATACAGTAAATTGTACTAAGGTACATGAAACTTGTGTAGAAATATGCAGGGTTTGTAAGCCAATAGTGATATTATAAATATTACTCAATGTCATATGTCTGTATTATATTTCTAACAGCCAATTAAGATCCTATTATCTAACTACTATATATTATAATTTTTTTTTTTTTTAAATATTAATAGTGAGGCCATGTCTTTAACTTTATTGAAATTTAATTAAAGTTTTTATAAAGAAAGCTTGCTTTTAAATTATATATGAAGAATAAAGACTCAGATATTTTATCTGTATCCTAAACCTACAAAAGTAGCCAAGGCTTATCTAAATTGGATTTGAGTAATAATATATAAGAAAGAGGTATGATATTTAATCTATTAGATAGTTCAAAGATCAATTTTAGTAATAATTTGTAGTATTGAAATGGGAGGTAAGAGTAGACTAAAAGAATGACTATGAGTTGAATTAGTAAAAAGTGTAGTATGAGATAAGGTTGTTAATAGAGCAATATACTCTGGAGCAACTCGGGTTATACTCTAATCTGAAGTTGGAGCAGATTAAGATTTGAGAATTATATAATGACCTAAAGCAAAAATTATTATTATAACCCAGATTGCTTCATATAAAGTAACTCAGAGCAAAATTATTTTGATAACCTGAGTTGCTCCATATAGAGTAACTCAAAGCAAAATTATTTTGATAACTTGGGTTGCTCTATGTATAGAGTAATCTGGAGCAAAATTATTCTTATAATCCTGACTGCTCCATATTCAAAGTGACCTGAAGCAGCATAGTTAGCTTTAATTTTGATTGGTCAATCACTGAATAAAACTACATCTTTTATTCTACTTACAGTAAAAATAATTCACAGAACAGAAGAATAATTCAGAATTTAGTAACAGAGTGCACTTTTGGTCTTATCTCTTAAACTGTCAATTTAACTACATATTTACTATAATTTAGACTACAATTTAATATAATTTTATAGCTTAATCACAGATCAATCATGAAATTTCCAGGCAAATTCATCTAGAAAACAGTTTAAATGATAGGTTAAAATAATTCAGCAATCAGCAAAGTAATTTGTATCTTGGCTAATAAATATTAAGTTTTTTTAAAAAAAAAACTTTAAAATAAGGATTTAAACAAAATACTTTTTTCAATATTCTCTCTAAATATAAGTTATTCAACCAAGTTTTTAAAATCTTACAATATATTAGATATAGAGTATGTATAGAATATGTACGATTACATGTTATGTTCTATAGTTAGTGTTTGATTTTTATATTGTCCATACTCTTTATATGCATGTACTATTCTTATTAATAAGATGGCTCTTTTTAATTCATTTTTTATATTATTTAGTTGTATCTTGTTATTAAACTATCTACTAGTTAGTAAGTAGTTTGATAAGCTTAAACAACTTTTTTTTATTGAGTTTAGTAACCAAATATAATATTGTTAGTCAAAATTGTTTTAAGTTTGTAAAAATATTTCAATATTTGGTAATTAGTCTGCCAAAATTCTAAAATAATGCCAAAATTCTAAATTATGTCAAAATGTCTAAATTAAAAAACTTGTTTATTTTGTAGATTTCGATATATTATATCTTAAAATAAGTTTGGTTCAAAAATGGTTACATTTCCCTATCAACTAGGTTTAATTATATAAGCTTTTCTAATTGATACCTACTTGAAAATTTTCTTATATTTTATATGTGTTTTTTCATACAGTACTTATTATGTTAAAGTTTATAACTAGGATCTGGATTATTATCAATTTAAAAATCAGTTACTTTAATGTATAAGCCTTCTATCATTAATTTAGACATTTAGTTATATAGTATTTATTTAGTCAACTATATAGATATTTAGTCAAATTTAAAATTTTGATATTTCAACAAAAGATAATGTCATGTTAAAATATATTTTGATACAAAATTGTTTAAATATTTGACTTAATAAGGTATTTTAACTAACAACATTAATCAAATATGCATTTGAAAAATAACTATAAAGGCCAATGTATTAAAAATCATTATTAAAACTTCAAATTTATAGTTTAAATATATCTTTTTATCTGATAATTTTTAATTATTAGCCAATCAGAATGAATATCTACTATGCAAAATTATTCTTATAACCCAGGTTGCACAACATACTCAACTTTATAATAATTGACTTTACTAAAAAAAAATATTGTCTCTTGAAAAGAATATTAGCAGAAGCACTTTCAAGCATATGATACTAACTTGTTTTGAATCTTTAGAGTAAATCTTTAACCATATGTAATAACAGTAGTGCTTTGCAAGAATACTGAAAAATTTAGATTTCAGTGATAGTAATTCTTGATACTAAAAGATTCAGATTTTTTTAACAGTAATAATAGATTTGGAGAAAAATAACAATAATTGACATGCTTTGCTTGGATTAAGAGAAAAGAAAGTGTTAGCAGGCACACTTTGCAAGAACATATTGAGTTTGTTAATTTCTCTAAATCTTAGTCAGATTGGAAAAGAAAAAGATATTGCAATGATTTTTTGAATTTTGAATGTAGTTAGTATAATTAAAGAAAATAAAAAAAATTTTAAAATTATTAATTATAATTTAGAAAACATTATACTTTACCAAAACTAGCTAAGGCAGATAATTCTAAAACTGCTATTTGCTATTAATACAGAATTGGTATAGTGAAGAATTATAACAATTTCAAGTATCAAATTTAAGAGAATGTTTATTAACTTTTATCACTTAATTTTATTTTATTTAGCATATTAGTATACAAAAGAGTAATTATTTTTTAGATGTTTATAAATATTAGAATCTTTATTTATAATTATAAGAGACCAATATGAAGTTTGGTTCAACTTAAAGTGATGGAATAGTTTTTGATTAATAATCAAAAGTCAACTAATTATATTTATTGCCTTAAGTTGGACTAAATCTTATGTTGGTCCTTCACAATTGTATAAATATGTAATAGTTATATTCTGGGCAGTTGGGTATAAGTAGAAGTTTGCAGTAACTACTTATATAGCTAATTATATGTACTTATTGCAAAATTCTACTTAACCCAACTACACAGGATATAATATTTATTATTATAGCTGATATTAAAATTTGGGTCATTATCTTAAATAATTTTATAGAATATATTCTTTGTATATTTAATATTTTACTGTAATGAGTATTGTAATTTATATTACTAGTATATAGTGTTTGAATATAAACCTTATTAAGATGTGCTAGTATTTTATTAATAACTTAAGATAAAATTTAAATTCTAATGCCTGCCAATTTATAGTCATGATAATATTTAAGACTTTGTAATTATTTTTGTGAAGCCTGTTATTTTAAAAAATATGGTATTTTATAGAGTTTATACAGATAAATCACAAAAAAATTTTCTAATAAAAGATAAAAAATTTGATTAATGTTTGATGCAAATATAAAAACAAGTTGCATTTAGAAACAATGAGTAATCACAAGAAAACAAGCCTGTATATTTATTTTTAGATTTTTATTGATATATTTAGAAAATTAAATCTGTATTTGAAATTTATATTAAAAATTATTTAAATGGCTTATTTACTATAATTGCAGAATATGCACTTATTAAAAATAAATATAGTATAATATATTTGATATATATTTTATGTATCATGTTTTAAATTAGCTTTATTAAAAATTGTTTTATACGAATAAAAAAATTAATATAAATCAGTTTATAAAACTAAAAAAAAACAAAAAATAACTTTAGTAAAAAAATGTCAAAAAAGCAAAAAATAACTACACTTGAATCAAATATTCAATATGAGAATGAATTAACTGAAAGTAGTTTTAAAACTACTGATAATACCATTGATTTAACAGAAAGTACATCAACTGAGCCAATGGTCAAACTAACAAATACTAGTAAAAAAAGTGATCATAACTTAGTTTTACTTCTTTTACGAGAACTCTTATAGGTTTGAGAACATTTTTCAAAGATATATAATAACAACAATGAGATTATTTCATTTATATGTAGTATATGCAAACTTAAATATAAGTCAACCAATATGCCAAGAACATTTGCAAGACATCTACATAATAAACATAGTAACTATGTTAGTAGTTGACAAAGTACTCTTGAAAAATTTATAGGTAAGCCATATTCAAAAACAGATCAATGATACTAGCAATTTACAGATACAATTGTGGATTTTATAGTTTGCTATTAGTTTCCTTTTTCTATTGTTAATAATAGATATTTTATTATAATGCTAAATAAGCTAGACAGACGATATCAAGTACTTTGCTGACAAACTATACGAACTGAGATTTTGAATAAATATAATTATATATGTAACATAATGTTTTAAGAACTTGAAAAAGATAAAAAAGTTTCAATTACTTGTAATATTTGAAGTTCAATTACAATGCAATTGTATCTTGATATTATGGTTCATTTTATTAATTATAAATGGCAATTAAAACATTTTTTACTTGACCTTTATTATCTTTCTGAACAACATACTGCTATAAACATTAAACAAGCTCTTATACAAGTATTGGATTAAATTAAAATTACTGAAAAGTTGTTGGAAATTACAACTGATAATGCATCTTCGATAATAGCTGCAGGGTGGGAACTTAAAGAAACTTTAAATAATTATGAATTAGTTCATCAGTGATGTGCAGCACACATACTTAATCTTACTGTACAATATGATTTGCAGTTAGTATTACCAATTATAAAAAATGTTCGAGATTTTGTAGCAAAAATTTAGCATTCAACAAGATTAAACAAGTCTTTAAAAACAATTTATAAACTTGAAAATAAGCCTAAATTAAAACCTGATTTAGATATAGAAACATTGTAGAATAGTACATATCTTATATTAAAAAAATTTTGCCAAATGAAAGATATTTTAGATCTTTTTATTATTAAAAATTAGGATCTTTCTAATTTTTATTTGCAAGATAATGATTGGCTAGTAGTAAATAGTTTAATTTAATTACTTGAACTATTTTTTATAGTAACTGAAATATTATCAACTTCAATGTATCTTACTATAAGTGATGTAAGGTTAACTATAATTGGTTTATTGCGACATTTAGAATCTTTTTTTGAAACTTACTCTGATACTAATTTGGATGAATGTATAATAGCAAATTCAATTAATTTCAAACTCCAAGAATATTGGGAATATGTTGACGAACCAACAACAATTAGTGTTTTGTTAGATCTGTAATCTAAGACTAAAACTTTTAAAGATATTAATAAGCATGATAGAGCTATAGCACTTTTGCATAACAGAATAGAATTATATAAAAATGATACTCAATCTACTAATATAAATTTACGATCAAGAGAAAACAAATAGTCATTTTTTGAATCTTTAATTTTTGAACAAAATTCTGAACAAGTAACTGTTGAAGATGAAATTACTTAATATTTTGCAATTCTAGTTGATTCTAATACAAATCTGTTAGATTGATGGCATTATTTTGATAAAAATTTTCCAATTTTTGCAAATATAGCATTATGCTATCTAGTATTCAGAGTTCAAGTATGCCTTCAGAACAGGCTTTTTCTATAGCAGCAAATATTATAACTAAAATTCATTGTAACTTAAAACCAGATACTGCACATGCAGTTATGTGTTTTAAAAGCTGAATTCAGCAAGTGTGTAATAATAATAAAAAAGAACTTGATATAGAAAATCTTTATCTTTTAGAAATTTAACATTTTAAGCATGTATATATTTATTATTAAGAAAGTATTAGATATTAGCCAATATAAATTTTTTAAAAGAAAGGTAGGCTAGTAACTTGATTTTAGCTAATATTTAACATATTCTTTATTGTTATTAGTAACTTTTATTATAGTGCTTTTTGAATTACTATAATAATAGTATTGCCTGCTGCAAATATGAGATGTGAATTTTTTATAGCACAACTGGGGTTGCAACTTATTGTCACAATAGAATATAATATCAATAATATAATATATATAACTTATCTTGTAATAATTACAATATAAATAGGCTGTAAAAATTAAGTTATAACTTTGCAGCAGGCAATATCAAATTTTATACTATATAGAAACTAGGAATCTATTAAAATACTAACTAGTTTTTGTAAGAAGGTTCAACCTTTGAAGATTTCTTAACTATAGTTGATAAATTTCAATATTTAACTATCTTCAAATACTACTAGTATATAGAATTTAAGTAGCTTATAATATGAAAATAATAAAATATCTTCATCAGAGTTTGTAAAATTTAGATAAAAATCTTTATTGCACTACAAGATCTAGTATATATTAAATATGATGAGAAATTAGTAAATTATTTTTTAAATATTTATATGAATTTAAAGATTGTTATTAGCGATAAACAATAAACTAACAATTACAGTAATTTGAAAAGCACTTTAAATATTATTATATTGAACAATTTACAAATAAATAAATATTTATCTCTTATACTGTATTATAAGATGTTTGTGATCAAATTTGTTTAGATAAGATATTTAATAATTTTTTTAAAAAAAACCACATATTGCCAAAAATTATATTTGTAGTAAGCTTTTGAATTGGCAGTTAAGTCTTTTATAATACCAGATACCATTATAATTTATATGATATCTACCAAAAAAAGAGCAAAATTTTCTACAAAATAGTGTAAGAGATAAAAAATCAATTTTTTATTTAGATTAACAATGAATACATAATACAAAAAGATTAATTAATCTTATATATACAAAAAATCTATAAATTAAACCTTTTATTATCTGAACATGCTACAAAAACCAATATATTTAAGTATTAATCTGAACCTTCTATTACTATAAGCTTGTTCCTATTCAAACTAAATATGTAGTTATATATATAAATGCTGCCAAGAAAAAAGTGCACTTTGGCAATTTAAGCATATTACTGATTAATTATCGAGTTTAGCAATTATGCAGATCAGGCTTTTAATAACATTGATGTAAAATATAAAAATTTAATATGAATCATGATCCATTTTTTGAAACCCAATATGCATTATTACTAAACTCAATAATTAATCAGTAATGCACTTAAATTGCTAAGGTGCCCTTTTTCCTTGGTGGCACTTATACAGAAACAGTGAATATTTCTATTCCATTTTATTCCAATATCAATTGACCAATCAAAACTTGCATTTAGACACTAATAAAAGTTTTGATTAGTATCATTCAATTATTTTGTTTTATAATATAATTTGACATGATCCAATAAATTCTGTCTTCTAAGCAGAATTCTTCAAAAGTTGATCTTTTTCAGTTTTTTGTATTTTGTAAGGGTTAAGATCACTGCTGAAGTGGTTTGGGTTGATACTGCACAAAAATCTGTCAAATCTGCCAGAAATGACAGATATAACAGATCAGATAAATATGGCTTATAGGGCATATAGAGAAAATAGAGTAAATATACTAGAAAGATTCATAATAAATTAGTATAGTAAAAAATGTATTTAACTACCAAAAATTCCACTGTCAATAAAGATAAAAAAGTGTTCTATTTCACTAATTCTTTTCTGATAAGTGAACTCTGTCTTTACAATAGGAATTAGTGATCAAATTCTGTGATTCTGTATTAGGATCTTGTGACATAGTGTAATTGACCCTAGCTATTCTGACTAAGTCTTTCCACATCTTGATCATAGCCTTCCACTATTAGAGTTGGAATTAGAGTAAAATTTAGTAGCAGTAGTGTTGGTTGTTTATAGTTAGTATAACATGATTTTGACACATTTCTTTTAGTACTATTTTTTATTGTTACAATGTACTATACATACCTATAGTAAAAGGTTAACACTTTTGCAGTAATTGTTGATTAGTAAAATGAGGAGTTCCTAAAATAAATTATGCAGGTAATTGATTTACACTAGTCAATCAAATGAATTTCTGCTGTTAAAACAGAAAGTGCTTGAATCAATGCATAGCCACAAATAGCTCAGATCATAAGCATTAAATTGTTGGATTTTATTTACAAATGTAATAAGTAACAGAGAGTACAAATATATCGAAAGGTACTAAAAAGAACTATTGAAATGTATTACTAAATATTCAAAAAAAATCTATTAAAAGGTACTAGTCAATTAAAAAGAAAACTATTGATTTATGACTCTTTATATAGTTTTATTAAACTTCAATTAGTAAGAAAGTCATTATATAATTATAGTTACTAATAAATATATTATGCAAAAAAGATACAAGAACAAAAAATTTATTACAAAAAATATTATAATACTGCCTATAAAACTTGAAACATATTCTGGAGCACAACCTGAAGCACAGCCTGGAATATAACTCAGAGTATAACCTGAAGCATAATCTGGAGTATAACTCAGAGCATAATCTGAAGCACAACCTATAGTACAACTTGGAGCATAACCTGGAGCATAATCCAGAGTATAACCCAAGTATAACCTGAAGCAATTGCTTGAAACATAATCTGGGTTGGGTTGGAAATAGCCTTGCTTCATCAAATTTTAACCCAACCCAACCCAACCCAACCCATTAACAACCCTAGTATGAGATTGTACAGGATGTAAAATACAGTATAAAATCTATATTTGTTTGTATATTTGTTGATTTAAGTGAAGAAGAAATTTGATAAAAAGAGTAGTAGCAGTATAATAAGAAATAGAAGTATTGTAAATAGTAGAAATAAAATCAATAGGAACTAAACCAAATAGAATAGAAATAAGAGAAGGTATATATGAAGAGTTATGCAGTTTAAACTGTTAAGGGTAAGAATTTCAGTATGTAAATCAGAGACAAGATTGGCAGTCATATTAAGATTAGTAGTATTTAAAATACTATTAAAAGAATTAGAGATTAAGTGATAGATAGTTTGAATTGATAGACAGATAATCCAATTAAGTGAAAAGCTGGTTTAATTGTATTGATAGTAGGAGGAGAAAAATAAAGGATTACATTTATGGAAAGTATAAGAAACAGGAAGTTCATCTGTAAGGATTTTAACATAAAAAGTTTTCAGAGTAGATGAGTAGAAGCTGTGAGCAAAATTGGAAATTTTTTAATTATTGTTGATGTAAAGCTATATAGCTTCCCAGTTGATGTCAGATGCAATAGTAGACTATTGTTGGAAATGATGTTAAGGTGTTCAAAGTGTTATGATATGAGCTTGGCATATAGTTTGAATAGAGCATTATATAGGAATTTCAATAAGAAATTCATCAATATAAGGAGTATAGTTGAAATTATAAGAATTATTAGTTAAGAATATTAGGCAGAGTAATATTTGATAATTATGAGCAAGTTGGTCAGCAAGGTTACTAAATGGATCATCTTGGTGTGCAATAACTTTGCGAAAAGTAAGTTGAATTTCATAAGACTTAATAAAGTTGATAAGAGTTTGCTAGATGAAAAAATATGAAGTATGAGTATAAGAAAAATTAGATGTTTATTGGCTGATATTATGATATTTGGAGATTACTGATTGTAAGTCAGTAAATATGTAAACAAAGCAATGTCTAAGAGCAGTAATAATTGCTAAGAGAATAGCAAAAATTTTAGCTTTAAAAGAGCATAGTCACAGTTTAACTTGTGCTTAAAAAGAGTTAATAGTAGTAGAGTTATTAACTTGAACCCAACCTATGCCTATAGAGCATTGTGAAATACCAAAGTCAATAACAGAACCATCAGTGTAAAATGAAATAAAAGATAGATTGTAGTTTGAGTTAGTGATAGTCTGAAAGTTATTAACAAGTTGATATGTTTCAAAAATAGAAGCTAGTTGTTGTAGATTAATTGTAAGTGAAGAAGAGGTGGAATATATAAGGAATATTAAAGAGCAACAGAATATGCAATATTAAGAAAGTTTGCATAAAGGTTGAGAGTTTTGTCAGGATTGATATAGCAAAGTAGCTTAGTAGTCAAGTTAGTAGGAATAAAGATAGTATATTTGTTAGTGATTGTATTTGAATTTATTGAGATGGCATCCAGTATATAATATAGCAGTAGAGAGAAAGGTAGGATAAAGATTAGAGAACTAAGACTGAAATAAGCAGTGCCAGTGGTTGATGAAAGTGAGGCCAGTAGGTGTATTATGCCTTCTGGCCTTGCCAATAATTATTAGATTATCAAGAACAGTGAGTAGTCAAGATTTAGTATTAGAGCTAAAGTGGCCAGTAGAGTGACAGAAGTAGTTTATAGAAAATAAATTGTAATAATCATATAGAGTGCATTCATAAGA